AGCCGGGACCGGGCCGATTCCGCCAGTTCATGCAGTTCGACGCCGATACTGTCGGCGCACCGGGCGTCCAGGCGGACGCGGAAATGTGCATGATGATGGCCGACACGATGGAAGCCCTCGGCATTCCGCGTGGTCAGTATGTCATCCGGGTCAACAACCGGAAGGTTCTCGATGGCGTTCTGGAGTCCATCGGGCTTGGCGGTGAAGAGAACGATGGGCGCCGTCTGACTGTTCTGAGAGCTCTCGACAAGTTCGACAAATTCGGCGTTGATGGTGTTCGACTTCTTTTGGGCAAAGGCAGAAAAGATGAAAGCGGCGACTTCACCTCGGGTGCCCAGTTAACAGAAGAGCAGATCGATCCTTTAGTTAAATTTGCTGATTTCGAGTCAATCCTAAAAGGTGCGCGCTACAGCAACGCATTAGACGATCTCCTTGGCCCCTATCCGTTGCCGTTCCAACAGCATCCGACCACATGGGACGAATCCGGCATTGCACATTCTCAAACGCAGGCTGCCTGGCAAGACAAAATTAGTTCTCTGTCAGCCCTGGTTGAACTACCAGGTTCGATCAGCGACTGCTGGAACATCGAGAATCTGAGTATTTTTGCGCTGCTGTTTGATGCGAATGAAAAGATCATTGAGGGATTGAACGAACTCGCCCAAATCGCTGCGTTGATGGAGTCAGCTGGATACAGTGAAGATCAAATCAAGATCGACCCAACCGTCGTGCGTGGGCTGGAGTACTACACCGGTCCCGTCTATGAGGCAGAGCTGCTCTTCGATGTCACCAACGAAAAGGGTGAGGTCGTGCAGTTCGGGTCCGTTGGCGGCGGTGGGCGTTACGACGGTCTGGTCAAGCGCTTCACGGGCCGCGATGTACCGGCCACCGGGTTTTCAATCGGCGTCTCGCGTCTGATGACGGCGCTCAAGAACCTCGGCAAGCTCGGCAGATCCGAGGTTGTCGCTCCTGTTCTGGTGACCGTGATGGACGGCGATGTCGACGCTCTCGGGCGGTACCAGAAAATGGTTCAGGAGTTGCGCGGCGCAGGTATCAGGGCCGAAATGTACCAGGGCAACTGGAAGAAATTCGGCAACCAGCTGAAATATGCCGACCGGCGCAACTGTCCGATTGCCATCATTCAAGGGTCGGATGAGCGGGAAGCCGGTGACCTTCAGATCAAGGATCTGATCGAAGGCAAGCGGTTATCGGAAGAAATAACCGACAACATCACCTGGCGGGAAAGCCGGCCGGCGCAGATCACGATCAAGGAAGCTGACCTGGTGGAAACCGTGCGCGGCATTCTGGATGGCCAGGCAGACGATCGCAGACGTCAAAACGAGGGCTGAACAATGACGGCGGCTCAGACAACCGGGCTGGACCCGAACAAGATCGAAGCGATTCTTGCTGCTTTCAGGGGTGCAGGACATGAATTCGTTAACCCGCCGATCCTGCAGCCGGCAGACGTTTTTCTCGACCTGACAGGCGAAGACATCCGGCGCCGTCTGTATCTGACGCAGGGGAGCAACGGCACGGATCTCTGCCTGCGCCCCGATTTCACCATTCCGGTCTGCCGTCACCACGTGGCAGCGGACAAACCCAGCCTACCGGCTGCCTACTGCTACAACGGCCCGGTGTTTCGCCAGAGGCCGGACGGGCTGGGTGAAATTCCCCAACTCGGTGCAGAAAGCCTTGGCCGAAATGACACTGCGGAAGCCGATGCCGATCTGCTGGCCCTGTCCGTGAGTGCACTTCAAACATTCGGAGCAACGGGCACTTCCATTCGCATCGGTGACGAGACGCTGTTCGCGGCTGTCCTGTCCGGGCTGGATCTGCCGGCCGTCTGGAAGAGACGTTTGCGTGATCTGTTCGGTGAAACCGACAAGCTGACCGCCGCGATCGACCGCATGGCGGGAAGCGTTTCGGCGAATGACGACAGCCGGGATGTGCGCCTCGGTTTTCTTTCTGCACTGGAGGGCGCGGACCCAACGGCCGCCCATGCCGTTGTCGAGGACCTTCTGTCAATCGCCGGCATTTCAGCCGTCGGCGGGCGGACACCTAGCGAAATTGCCGACCGGTTCCTGGAACAGGCCGCCCTTGCAAGCGGCGGTCGCGGACATGCGCAGGCGGCAGTCACACTCCGTGCCTATCTGGCCCTGAATGCCGATGGCGACAATGCCGTTGCATCCCTGCGTTCGTTCGGTACGGACCACAGTCTCGACCTCGAAGAGCCGATTGCCGCATTCGAGCGCCGCCTTTCGGCACTTGCAGCCAAAGGCATTGGACCTTCCCGGCTTTCGTTCGCCGCTGATTTCGGCCGCCGACTTGATTATTATTCCGGGTTTGTCTTCGAGATACACTCGGCCTCGGACCAGATCGCGGGACCACTGGTTGGCGGCGGGCGCTATGACAGGCTGCTGACCCTTCTCGGGGCCGGCGAAAACGTACCGGCCATCGGCTTTTCCATGTGGCTGGACCGGATCGCCGCCAGTATCGGGGCTGACTCATGAGCAAACTCATCATCGCCATTCCCTCCAAAGGCCGCCTCCAGGAAAACACCCACGCTTTCTTCGGGCGCGCAGGTCTGAAGGTTGATCAGCCCGGCGGCGCACGAAACTATCGAGGAGCCATCAAGGGGTTGCACAACGTCGAGATCGCCTTTTTGTCGGCCTCTGAAATTGCCCGGGCGCTCTCTGAAGGCTCCGTTCATTTCGGCGTCACCGGACTGGACCTTGTCGAAGAAAATATCAGCGATCCGGCAAACAATGTTCACGTCGTCACGCCCCTCGGGTTCGGTCCGGCAGATGTCGTGGTTGCCGTCCCGAAAGCCTGGATCGATGTGGAATCGATGGCAGATCTGAGCGACGTTGCCTCCGACTTCCGCAGCCGCCATGGTCGCCGCCTGCGTGTTGCGACCAAATACGTGAACCTGACGCGTGCTTTCTTCGCCCGGCACGGAATTGCCGACTACCGTATCGTTGAAAGTGCCGGCGCGACGGAAGGTGCTCCTGCTGCCGGATCTGCGGAGCTCATCATCGATATCACCACCACCGGATCGACCCTTCATGCCAACAACCTGAAGATCCTTGCCGATGGCGTGATGCTGAAGAGCCAGGCCAATCTTGTTGCCTCTCTCAACGCCGACTGGAGCGTTACTGCACTCGCTGCAGCGAGAGCGATCCTGGACCGGGTGGCAGCTGAAGAAGCTGCGCGCGGCATCAGACTTGTCAAGGCAGTGGTCGATGACAGGACACAGGCGCTGAGATCAGTCAGCAAGGTCGGCGCGATCCAGCGTTTCTCCGAAAGCGATGACGCAAACCGTGTCAATGTGCTGTGCCCGAAGGACGCTGTCGCCGATTGCGCCCAGCTCCTGATCGAGGAAGGTGCAGACACTGTAACCGTCGAGACGCTGGACTACGTGTTTTCCAGAGAAAATCCGCTTTTCACACCTTTGAAAGAAAAGGTTGGCGGATAGCCCCGTCGGTCTCCGTTCCCCGTCAGAAGGTTTCGCCTTGAGCTGAATTTCCAGGTTCGACACCGTCTCGACCGGAGCCAGGGGCAAATCGAGGCACAATCCGGTCTTCCCGGGTCTTCAGTTTCAGCTGCCGGTTTACCGCTGCAGACATCACAACTGCCTCGCAACACTTTGAACGCCGAATACCTGCGCCGCACCCAGCATCCCGATGGAATACACACCGATAATGCATTAACAATCAAAGGGTACGAGGCTGAGGAGCGCGCTCACGGTCTCTCTTAGTTGTTTCGCATCAGGATGCGCCGGACAACGACCACGGGTACGAGGGGCGAAGTGGTATGACACTATTGAATAAACTGCGGATCGCGAGCGGTCTGGTTTTATTCGTGTTTGTGCTTGGACATCTGCTTACACTGGCATTCGGTCTGCGATCGATCGAGGCGATGGAAACGGCCGGTCGGTTCCTGATGGGACCCTGGACCAATCCGGTTGGCGGTCCGATACTTATGTTGTCCTTCCTTCTGCATGGGGCGCTTGGAATCTGGGCGCTCTTCTGGCGCAACAGATTGTTCTTCAACTGGGGTGACAGCATCCAGGCGCTGCTCGGCATTGCGATCGTGCCGCTCCTGCTGCCCCATATCATGGGGACGGTCGTCGGGCCGGCGATGACCGGAGCGACACCAAGTTTCAAATGGGTGCTTGCCGTCTACTGGATGTTCGTCCCGCATCTTGGAATTCAGCAGGTGATCGCCCTCATCGTCATCTGGATTCACGGCTGTTATGGACTGTTCCTCTGGATGCAGGTCCAAAACTGGTGGGGCCGGATCTCAACTGTTTCCTACCCGTTTGTCGTGATCGTTCCTGTTGCCGCCCTGCTTGGCTTCGTAGAGGCGGGCAAGATCCTGCTGGCGAACAGCGGAAATGCCGAATTCATGGCGCCAGTGCGCGAAACGGCAGCTTTGTATGGGCAGGTAGGCGATCAGCTTTGGCGAATTCAGGACCAGATATTGTGGGCGTATGCTGCCATTGTCGCAGTCGTTTTCGCGGCGCGCGCGGTGCGGGTGTGGCGCAAGCGGCCGATGGTCACACTGAACTATGTCGACGGCCCGACGATCGTCCGGCCAGCAGGCCTCAGTCTTCTCGAGACCGCCCAGTCCAGGGATACCCCGCACGCCGCGTTGTGTGGAGCACGAGGCCGTTGCGGCTCTTGTGCCGTGCGCATTGTCGAAGGTGCCGGGAACCTGTCGCCGATCGGCCCGATAGAAGCCGAAACCCTGGCACGGCGATCAGCCGCTCCGGGAGACCGGCTGGCATGCCAGGCCATGCCTGTTGGTGGTTCCGTGCTTGTCGAGCCTTTGTTCTCGCCGGATATCACACCGATCGAGTACCAGGAATTGCTGCGCGGCGAGGTTCCGGACCCACCGGTGTCCGAGCCTGCCTCGGTGGGTGAGGGCTCGCAATGAAACGGATTCTGATAACGCTCGCATGTTTGTTTGCCGTTCAAATGATTTCGCCCGTCTCGGCACAAATGCCCTTGCCCGGATCCGGCTCAACAGAAGTTGAAGATACGGTCGCGGAACCTTCACCCAATGACATCAAGGAACTGGCCCGCCTTCTTGCCGACCCGACCATCGTCAACTGGCTGGAACAACGGGCCGACGCACTCAACGGAGAGGGTACACCGGAGAACCAGTCCTTCAGGGACATTGCGGCACAAGGGCTCGAGGCCGTCCAGGCAAGGGTGCGGCAGGTCGGTGTCGCCCTGACACTGTTGCCACAGGCACCGTCGATCATTTCCAGCACATGGCAACAGGAACTCTCACCGCGGGAACAGTTGAACCTTGTTGTTCTGTTGATCATTTTCGTTTTTGTCGGTGCAGGACTTGAGTGGCTCTACTGGCGCTACGCCGGATTTGTCCGGCGACGCATCGAGCTGCATCAATCAACCACCTATCTTGAAAAAACCCGCTCGGCGCTCACTCGCCTTGCACTGGTGTCGGGCGGTGCCTTCTGTTTTTCCCTGGGCACGATCGGCACGTTCGTCATTTTCGAATGGCCGCAAAACTCCTATGACTTTGTTCTGGAACTGCTGATTTCGCTTGTCATCATACGGGCCATTGCGGCAATTGCGCTGTTCGCGCTTGCACCGCGCGTCGAAGCGCTCAGACTGGTGCCACTCTCCCGGCAGGATGCGCGGCTTCTCTATCTCGGGGTCATGGTGACATCCGCCGTCATGCTGTTTGGTGGCAGTCTCGCAGAAACCATAGTGCTTCTGGGACAGAATGAGGCTGCAGGCCTGGCCATTGACATATCGGCCGCGGCCGCAACGACAGTCCTGGTCATCCTGCTGTTGTGGCTGTTATACGCGCGCAGCGAACCTCAGCGCCGTTTCATTCTGATGCCGGTCCTTGGCTCCTTTGTGGTGCTGATGCTCTTCATACTCTGGCTGATTGGTGCCTACAGCCTGGCAGGCACTCTGGCCGTCATTGCCCTGCTTGTGCCGATCGAGCGCATTCTGAGGCGGACGATCGAGCATGCTTTCAAGGCAAACAGGCCCGATCCGGTATCGGACGAGCCGGATGGAGACAGCGACGTGGAAGAGGAGGCGGATCACGGGATCTATCTTCCCGTTGCCATTCGCCTTGGCAGGTTCGTCGTCGTCGTCACTGCTGTTGTGTCAATCGGACTGTTTTGGGGTGTGCAGCCATGGAACCTGTCAGCCGTGAATTCGACGCCAGCTCAGATCGTCCGAATCCTGGTTGACGTCATGGTGGCATTTCTGATCGGCGACCTCATCTGGACGGCTACAAAGACGGCAATTGACCGGCGTATGGCGGCGATGCCGAAACTTCAGCCCGGTGTGGCGCCAGGGCCGGAGGCGCGCATGGCGACGCTGCTGCCGCTGATCAAGAAAGTCGTGCTGGTCACGATTCTGGTCATGGTCGCGCTGATCGGGCTTTCATCGATGGGCATCAACATTACTCCGTTGCTGGCCGGCGCGGGCGTGGTCGGACTGGCGATCGGTTTTGGTGCCCAAGCCCTGGTTCGCGATATCGTCTCGGGCGTCTTCTTCCTGATCGACGATGCCTTTCGGGTCGGCGAATATATTGAAATGGGTGATTTGCGCGGCACCGTGGAATCCATGTCCATTCGCTCCCTGCAAGTCCGGCACCACCGGGGTGCAGTGCACACCATCCCGTTCGGCGAACTGAAGTCGCTCACCAATTACAGCCGCGACTGGGTCATGATGAAACTGGAATTCCGGGTGCCTTTCGACACCGATCTCAAACTCGCCAAAAAGATCGTTAAACGCATTGATGCCGAATTGCAGGACAACCCGGAATACGGGAAGAATTTCCTGCAGCCGCTCAAGTTTCAAGGGGTCCGGCGGATGGAGGAATTCAACATGGTCGTCGGCGTAAAATTCATGACCAAACCGGGTGAGCAATGGACCATCAGGCGCGATGCCTATCAACGCATTCGGGATGAATTCGAAAAGGCGGGCATCAATTTCGCACAACGAAACGTCAAGGTTGAAGTCATCGGCGCAGAGGACATGAGCGAGGAAACAAAGGAACAAGCCGCCTCTGCAGCAATGGACGCCATTGAACAACAGGTTGACGGACCAACCGGGTCATAAGGCCGATCCGCATCTTGGGGACGCCGTGCACAGGCGCCGAGATTGCTTTGCAATGTCACGTGATCCTGCGCATTTCCGAAGGAGACGAAGCTGCCGCGTCGGCGTTCGCCGTCCTGCCATGCTGTTGCGAAGCAGACCGTGTCCCTGATAGCGAAATGCGCCGATACGATTGCAATCACGCTTTCGCAAAATCCGACACCAGTCGCGACAGGGCATCCCAATCTGTGAATTCGCGCGTAGTCTGGAGCTCCTTGTTGACGTGATCCGCAAGATCACCTTCCAACAAGGCCGACTTTTCAAACCAGTCATAAGAACCCGGTTTCACCGCACCGGCGATCAGAGCGATTTCCGTTGGCTTCCAACTTGCCGCCTGAAGAAAGGTGTCGACATATTCCCCAGCCTCTTCCCTTGTGTCCTGAAAGGCCGCCGCCAGGCTTACGGACACGAACAGGCCAGGCAATTCGTTGAGACTGCCCCGGTTGGCAAAGACAAACAATTCGAGATCAGGCTGGTGCCTGGCCGAGTGCACGGAGCCGGCAATGATGGTCTTGTCAAAGTCCGGAATGGAAAGCCCGCCGGAGAGATCACTTACATTGTGAAATCGGACCTCATGCCCCTCGCCCGACAAGGTCGCGCCAATGAATTTTGAAATCTTTTCCGTTTGTCCTTCGGTGGTTGCATAGGCAATCAGGTATCTCAAGACAGCACCTATCCGCTTTCGTTCGACATTCCCACGCTAGCGTATGCCGTGTTTTCCGTCGCTCCGTATCTTCACGTGTTTTGCCCGGGTAAATCGCGGCAAATTGTCCGATCACGAGCACTCGCGTCTGGTGCTGGCCGACACTTCAAGGAATGCCGGGGCCGACAGGTGAACCAACATTTATCAATGCGAATTCCGAACGCAGGACGGGCCGACAGAGACACGGCGCCTGCCGATGAACAGGCCCGAAAGGCACCTCCTCTTTACTTCCTTGTCGGTCTCACAAACGCTTCCCTGGCCTTTTCAACCTGGTCCCGGCAACAGCAACCTTCCAGGTGGTCGTTGACCATGCCCATGGACTGCATGAACGCATAGACGGTCGTAGGGCCGACGAAGCTCCAGCCTCGTTTTTTCAGGTCCTTTGAAAGGGCCGTGCTTTCAGCCGTCTTGCCAAGCGTTCTTGCGGTTTCAAAATCGATCCTTGCCGGCCGGTCTTCCGGTTTGGGTTCGAAGGACCAGAAATAGGCCGCAAGCGTGCCGAACTCCCTTTTGAGCTCCAGAGCCCGATTGGCGTTGTTGATCGTTGACTCGATCTTCTTGCGGTGCCGCACGATACCACTGTCTTCCAGACACCTTGCAACATCGCCGTCGTTAAACTTCGCCACTCTTTCAAACTCGAAATTGGCGAATGCCGCCCTGAAGCCTTCCCGTTTCCTGAGGATCGTCAACCAGGACAGGCCGGACTGAAAGCCTTCGAGGCAGACCTTCTCAAAAAGCCGCCGATCGTCATCGACCGGCCAGCCCCACTCCGTATCGTGATACCGCTGGTAGTCCTCAAGACCGCCATGCCACCAGCAACGGCCCCTACCGTCCTGCCCTTTCAGGAGACCGGTGACCGGGTCCCGCTCTGGTTTCACGTCTTTTCCGGTTGCCTGTTCGCTCATGCCTCACCCGATATTCACTATTTGTTCTCAATTGGTAGCGGTGATCGAGAAAAGTTACAAGCACAAGTGTCCGGCCAACCTTGGAAAACGAAAAAGCCCGGCGAAATGCCGGGCTTTCCAATCGACTGAATTCGATTCAGGCAAACAGGGCGTCGATATCGTCCTGGGACGCTACATCGTTGTCGGTTTCCAGTGCGGGACCGTTGAGCAGCGCCGCGTCGCCTTCCTTGAACTCCCGTTGCTCGAGCTCAATGTCCTTGAAGGTGTCAATTCCGCCCCAGATGTCCATCATCTGCATGATGCGGTCCTCGACAAACCGGAGTGTCGAAACGACCTTGGTGATGCGCTGACCTGTAAGATCCTGGAAGTTACAGGCCTCGAAAATCTGAACAACCTTTTCCTGAATGTCGTTTGCGAGCTCAGAGTCCTCTTTGCCGACACGAGCCGAAAGTGTGTTGGCGGTCTCGTCAATGAACTCGGCGGCAGAAAGAATCATTTCCGTCGCCCCTTCTGTCCCGTCGACAACGGCATCCAGCTCGTTGGTGACACGGGTCATTTCCTCACCCTTGGAACCAGTGGTGTGGTGCAGGGTGGCAATTTCCTTTTTGGTCTGAGCGATCGCTTCATACATCGCGTCGATCTCGACCTTCAGTTTAGCAGCCTCCGACAATTCCTTGCGAAATTCGGACATGAATTTCTGGCTCATCGCTTCGGGGTCAAGTGCGTCGCCCTTTTGCGCAGCTCCTTTGCCGATCAATGATCTCAGACTGGAAATTTCCGCCAGCACTTCCTGATGCCGTCGTTCTTCGGCAAAGGCCGGATCACTGTCGGCCCCGGTATTCATGCGTATCAAGCTTTCCGCTCGAAAGGATCTCTTCACCGCGGCCATGCCTTCTCCCGTCCCTTGCCCCTGCCGGCGCATACAAATAGCGATTACCCAATTGGTAGCAGCGGAAGTTTAAAGAAATGTTTTTCCCTGAATTGACGAAAATGACAGGGGTGTCCGATGTTTGGCGCGATATTCCTTCTTTTTCCTCTCAAACGGTTTGGTTATCTTTTTCAACGACATTATTGGCGACGATCCGGACATGCCCGCACCGGTTTCGTCGCAGGGAATATTTGAACTGAACATGAATGTGGCCGGTAACTGCGATCTGACTTATATGAAAACCATGCGTTTCCTTCATCTGCCAGCATTGCTGACAAGTTTGTTTCTTACGGCGCTCATGATTTCCGTGTCGGCGCGAGCCGCAAACGATTCATTTTCTACCGAGGAACTGCTGAGAGGTTTCGAGAAGACGGTGTTCGGGCTCGAGTACCGCAGCTGGAGCTGGCGTCCCTACCTGGTCAAGAAGTTCACGCAGCCGGTAACCTTTTACGTACACAATCTGTCACGCCGCGACCGCACGCGCGTGGTCCATCGTTTCGTGCGGGAAATCGACCGGCGGATCGGTGGTCTCGAAACCAGCATTACCAACGACCCAGCCGCTGCGAATTTCGAGGTTTTTGTCGTGGACCGGGCGCAATACGTGTCGGTGGTTCAAAGAGACATTTACAAAAACGACCGTGCAAAAGTCCCAGGCCGGTGCCTTGTGCGCGTGGTTTCCGGTCGAAAGGGCATCAAACGCTCGTCCGCGGTCATTGTTTCAGATGAGGGGGAGTTTCTGTTCAAACGCTGCCTTGTCGAGGAAATCCTTCAGGGGTTAGGCCCCATGAACGATCATCAGGACCTGACACACTCGGTTTTTAACGATGCTTCGCGCCACAGCCGGTTTACCGTGTTCGACCAGATCATTTTGAACATGCTTTACGATCCCCGAATCAGGCCCGGCATGTCGATGAAGCAGACCAAACCCATCCTGCCCCTGGTTGTGCGTGACGCCCGCAGGCGCGTGCGTTAACCAACGAAAGCTGGAAATCGCAAAGATTTCAATCATCGGAAATCGATGTGCGAGCAGGTCGCCACCGTGGCAGGGATCTGTTAATCCTGTTCCTCAAGACTCGGCTAACCATAAGAAAGATTTACGCGAATTCTCACGCCGAGATTCACTATTGCCTGAACATGCCCGCTTATCATCCTTGCCAGTTCGTTAACCGGCAACTTAAAATTGCCGGAAGACGTGGTTGATGATGAGTTGCGAGTGTTGCCATGTTCTTTTTGAAGAAACGTTCTTCGAACTTACTGTTTCTGGCGGGAGCTACCCTGCTCGGCGCCTTCATTTCGGCGGGTCCGGTGTCTGCCGGCCAGGTTTCGCCTCCCCCACTGGTTCTGAGCCCAAATCTGACAGAACCCTGGATGCTGCAGCTGCAGCCCGGCACGGCGCGCCGCGCAGCAGCTCCCGTACAGAGGCGGCAGGTCCAGCAGCCCAAGGTCCGGCGTGCCAATTGGTGGTCGCGCCGAATGGAACCGGCCCGGCAACAGCCCAAACGGCAGACCCGGCAGATTGCACCTCAATTCCTTCCGACGATCATCGACTATGACGGCCCTTACAAGGCGGGCACGATTGTCATCGATACGAACGCCCGCTTCCTCTATCTGGTCCAGAAGGACGGAACCGCTCGCCGCTATGGTGTCGGCGTCGGCAAACCCGGATTTGAGTGGGCAGGCATGCATCGTATCACGCGCAAGGCCGAGTGGCCGGACTGGCGTCCACCAGCATCGATGCGCAAACGCCGCCCCGACCTGCCTGTCTTCATGGCCGGCGGGCCGGAAAATCCGCTCGGGGCAAGGGCGCTCTATCTGGGGTCCACGCTTTATCGCATTCACGGGTCCAATCAGCCCTGGACCATCGGACACGCAGTCTCGTCCGGCTGCATTCGCATGCGCAATGAAGATGTCATGGACCTCTATCAACGTGTGGGCGTCGGAACCAAGGTACACGTTCTCTAATGCACAACCTCGACAACTGAAAATCACCTGAACGCACGGCAACGCCGTGCGTTTTGTTTGGTTTGCCAGCCACTGCTTGCACTGCTGCAGGTTTCTTTGCAGTTTGTTTTTCAACGAAGAGCGGATCTCCGCTCGTCAAAGCGTATCGAGACGACGCAGGGTATGACCCGACGCACCAACATTGAATCTGCGCGGTCCGACGCGGCCTATTTCGTGAAAGCGGCCCTGGTCGGCCTTCTCGTAGGAGGATTGGCGACCGGTTTTCATGCAGGTCTCGAGCATCTGTTTGCCCAGTATGCCGCCCTGAGAAACTCTCTCGGCAGTGGCGCATTGCCGTATGTCGTTTCGATTCTCATTTCATCTATGTGCGTTGCCGCAGCTTTTCTCCTCGTTCAACGGGTTGCTCCGGAAGCCGCCGGCAGCGGCATTCAGGAGATAGAAGGAGCGATGGAGGACCGGCGCCCGGTTCACTGGCCTCAGGTGCTTATTGCAAAATTTTTTGGCGGCCTGCTTGCCCTCGGCTCTGGCCTGGTGCTGGGGCGGGAAGGACCGACCATTCATATGGGAGCCATGACTGCGGAAGCGCTCGCACGCTCTCACAAGGTCTCTCCCGCCGATCACAAGGGCCTGCTTGCAGCAGGAGCAGCCGCGGGGCTTGCCGCTGCCTTCAATGCGCCGCTTGCCGCAATCCTGTTCATTGTCGAGGAAACGAGACGGCAGTTTCCGTTCGGCTACCGCACCTACATGGCCGTCATCATTGCCTCCATCCTGAGTGCAGCCGTTACCGAACAGCTCACACAAACCGGCCCTCTCCTGGTTGTCGATGTGCGTTACCTGCCGGTCTGGAGTTACCTGCTGCTTGCCTTGATGGGCATCCTGCTCGGTGTACTCGGTGTCTTCTTCAACAAGGCGCTGATCACGGTCATGGACCTGTTTCTGAAAATCCCGAAGGGTCTGAGATGGCTCCCGGCCCTTGCAATCGGCGCAGTCACGGGCATCCTGCTCAATGCGTTTCCCGATGCAACGGGCGGCGGCGAAGATCTGGTCCATGACCTGATATCCAGCCATTATGGCGTTCTTGCTCTCTTGTTGCTCACATTCCTGCGCTTTGGCGGCGTGCTGTTTTCCTACGCGTCCGGTGTTCCGGGCGGCATATTCGCCCCCATGCTGTCCATTGCGACATGCGCCGGACTGGCGTTCGGCGTGATAGCCGTCGAAACGCTGCCCGTGGAAGATGATTTCCGGGCAGCCTGTGCCGTTGCTGCCATGGGCGGTTTTTTTGCAGCGTCCGTTCGTGCGCCCCTTGTCGGCGTCGTGCTGGTAATGGAGTTGACCGGAGCCTATGCCCTGATCATGCCCGTGCTCGTCACCTGCACGACTGCATCGCTCACTGCTCACCATCTCGGCGGGCGCCCGATCTATGAACAGCTTCTGGAACGCACACTGCGTATTGCAGGCCAGGATCCCGATAACGAGCCGGACAAAACACCGGTGCAACTCGGCACGCGCGAAGGCTGAGCTGCCGATCCAGGCGTTTCCCCGGACAGCGTTTCCCCGGACATGGTTGCCGAAGGCAACTCAGATTTCAGGCACCACGAGCCATTGCTGCCGCTCCAGCGGCACCCTGAACCGGACAACGCGCCGGATCACGGTACACAAGGGCCCAAGCCTCAGCAATGCGGAGACGAGGACTTCAGAACATCCAGGTCTCCGGATTTGAAATCGCGTCGCCGCGTCCGGCTGTCTGCACGCCCTTGATGCACCGGATGATGAACCAGACGAGCGTCGCGATCAGCACGAAAATACCAATGAACACGAATGTCAGCACGGCGCCTATAAGGCTGTACAGCAATCCGATCCAGAATGTTCGGATCTGATAGGTATAGTGGGATTCGACCCATCCCCCGGCTTTTCCCCTGTTCAAATAGGCGAAAATTACACCGATGATCGAGGTGATGCCGACGATGATACTGACAAGATAAAGAATGTAGATAAGAGTGGCGTTCTTACCACCGGGTTCCATGTAACCTGCGACATCGGTCTGATCGTTCATAACCGCACTCCGCTAAAATTCATTCTATCGAAACCGGGCCTGTGCAGCTGCGAATCTCGTTGCATCCACATTGATCCGGCCAGCCTAGATTACAGTCCTTTGCCCATTCGTCCAGACTTGTGAATATCGCTCTGCGCGAGACGGACCAAAGTGCCTTGCCAATTGCTGGGGCGACGGCCATGAGGACCAGAAGACCACGGGGATTTGTTTTCCCGTCTTAACGACTGATCTGGTCGGCTTGTCCTGCCGTAACAAGTGCTGTTAGTTCAAGAACGTTCCCGAATTTTGACATGTTCTGTCGCATTGGGGAGAGTTCAAGCAGAATCTGTCGTCTTTCTGAGAGATTGAAAATGAGCAATCTGACGGACATGGAAATCTTTGCGCGCGTGGTGAGCGCAGGCAGCATGTCGGCGGCCGGTCGGGAAATGAGCCTGTCCCCCGCGGTGGTCTCGAAACGAATCCGAAGGCTGGAAGAAAAGCTGGGAACGCGACTTCTCCAGCGAACAACCCGTCAGATCGCAATGACCGAGGCCGGTCAGGGCTTTTATGAACGGGTCATTGCCATTCTGGCCTCGGTCGAAGAAGCAGAGTCGTTTGTCTCGCGCGGATCCGCCAAGGCCCGGGGAAATCTCAGGGTTGCCGTTCCCACGTCGTTCGGACGCCTTCACATTGCACCGCATCTGGGACGGTTTCTGTCCGAGAACCCCGACCTGTCAGTCAATCTCGACCTGTCCGACGATTTTGTGGACATTGTCGGCGATGGGTATGATCTCGCGGTCCGGATTGCGGAGCTTTCGGATTCAAGCCTGGTTGCAAGGCGGTTGGCCCCGGTCCACCGTGTCCTGTGCGCCAGCCCGGAATATCTGGCAAAACACGGCGTTCCGATCAGCATTGAGGATCTGGCAAGCAATCATGTAACGATTGCAGCGACAAATCAGGATCCGTGGCGGCTTGCCGGGCCCTCCGGAATCGAAACCGTGCGTACACGTGCGCCTCTCAAGACAAACTCAAACGAAGTCGTGCGGGAATGCCTGCTTGCAGGTGTTGGCGTGGCACTTCGTTCCACCTGGGATGTCGGTCCGGAGCTGCGAGAAGGCAAGTTGCAGATACTGCTGCCTCAATACAGGGCATCAAAGGACGTCGGCCTGCATGCCGTTTATCCGAGCCGTCAGTTCCTGCCGGCCAAGGTGCGGGTCTTCATCGATTTCCTGGCCGGTCTTTACGGGACTTCGCCCTATTGGGATGCCGGCCTTGACGACTGGCTCCGCCTGCCGAGCAGCGCAAAGGCCGGGTGATCACTCCATTTTGACATGTGACGTTTAACTGCCGCATTAGTATCTCTCCTGATGCGACTGTGCGTCACTTGCATCATGTTCGGGCTTCCTGTCTTTTGTGCCGGGGTATGTATGCACCCAAATTGAGGGAGAGTTATATGCAGCGTTTGCTGATGATCGCCGGAACAGCGCTTCTGGCCGTAACCGCTCAGGCAAGTGCCGAAGGCGACCCTGCCAAGGGTGAGAAAGTTTTCAAAAAGTGCGCCGCCTGCCACGCCGTTGGCGAAAGTGCCAAAAACAAGGTCGGACCGCAGCTGAACGGGGTGGTTGGCGCTCCGTGGGGCCGTATCGAAGGATACAAGTACTCGAAAAACCTCGTTGAATTGAGCGACGGCAAAGTCTGGGACGAAGACACTCTCGTCGTCTATCTGACTAAACCGAAAGACCTTATTCCCAAGGGCAAGATGGCATTTGCCGGTCTGAGAAAAGAAGCGGACCGCGACAACGTGATTGCCTATCTTGCACAATTCAAGGAAGACGGCACGACCGAGTAGGATCAATCGGCATCGCATCACAGGAAAGGCCGGGGCTCCCCGGCCTTTTTCATTGCGGCAACTTCAGTCAATGTTCACCATGATGCTTGCGGATACGCCTGACGACCCACCAGATGAGCAAAACGACCAACGGCACTGCCAGGCCTGTCGTGATATTCGCGCTCGGAACCGGAAGCCCCGCATCCTTGGCGGCCTTTGCCAGGTACGAAATCAAACCGACCACATAATAGGAAACCGCAGCGACTGACAGACCTTCGACGGTTTGCTGAAGTCGCAATTGCAGACGGGCTCTGCGGTTCATTGATTGCAGGAGGCTGCGGTTCTGCTGTTCCAGTTCCACGTCAACTCTCGTGCGCAGCAATGTCGTCGCGCGGGCAAGCTTGCGTGACAGCATTGCCTGGCGGTCTTCAATTGCCTGGCAGGTTCGCATGGCAGGTGCAAGGCGTCTTGCCAGGAACGATGCCAGGGACAAATCGCCCGGTGCGGCTTCTTCTCTCAATGTCTCAAGTCTGGCCTTGACGATTTCGGCATAGGCGCGGCTTGCACCGAAACGGAAGGCACTCGCCGTCGCCCCGGCTTCCAGCGCCGCCGCCAGGGCAGACAGCTTGTCAAGAAGCTCCTGGTTGGTTCCAAGCGCAGCGGCATCCTTCATCTGGCCGGTCATTTCCGCCAACTCGATCTCAAAACGCCGGATTTCCGGTTGCAGACCTGTTGCCTCAAACAATCCCAGCATGGCAAGCGTCCGATAGGTTTCGACTTCAAGAAGGCGTTGCACGACAGCGCCGCACTGCACACCGCTCAGGGATCGATTGAACAACAACATGCGTGTCAGTCCGTCTCCGTCCTGACGGAAATCCGTCACCACGGTCGCTGCCCCGTCTTCCAGGTTCGAGACCGTCAGACTGCTCTCGTCAAACTGGCTGCGCCAATCTTCGTTTTCGACCGGTTCACGCAATTCGAGGCGTACAGCAACGAGAAGGTCTCCAGGCGCGCGAAAGGCCGCGCCGAACGGATGTGTCGCAGCAAGTTGCCCGAACAGCTGGTCCGGTCTCGCGCTTCCATCCCAGGTGTAGGTCGTGAATTCCGCGTGCTGTTCCCAGCTGAGGGTTCCACCGCCGAAAGTCAGGGTGTGATGCCGGTTCCCCGACGCGGGCCCGGGCACTCCTCGGGACATGCAGAATTCCGACAACCAGTCGTGATCCCTAGCCGCCTCTTCCGCGTTGGTCAGGAACGCATAGTGCAATACCGTGCGGGGACACGTCAGCGGTCGGAATGGACGTGCATGCACTTCTCCCAGCACACGTTCGCGCAAGAGAGATGTCCGGAACGACGGCAGCGACGACCCGTTCTCTGACCCCTGACCCACAATACTCGCCCCTGTCCAGTGTTCCGTCTGCGAGGCACTCTGATCACAAAGAACGCCTTATACCAAGGTCTAATATTGTCACAGGCCACGATTGTTCGCTGATGGCGGTTTTGACGCAATGATAATTGGATAAAAAAATTGACCAATTTTTGCATTGCACTTATGTTGCGCGGCAACGAAGGGATGCATCACGCATGTTTCAGCCTGTTGATCATCAAAAAACGGCCGACGCCGTTGTGGAGCAGATTGAAAATCTGATCCTGAAAGGCGTCCTGCACTCCGGTGACCGGCTACCGTCCGAACGGGACCTGGCCGAACAGATGAAAGTCTCAAGACCCGTCCTCAGGGATGCGCTCAAAACTCTTGAGGAACGCAGGCTGATTGAAGCACGGCGCGGTGGCGGCACCTATGTCTGCGATCTGATCGGTCCCATATTTTCCGATGCCATCATTGAGCTGATCGCCCGGCATCCGGACGCCATCAATGACTATTTCGAGTTCCGAAGGGGGATCGAAGGACAGGCGGCCGCCCAGGCAGCCATGCGTGCAGCCCCTACCGATCTCAAGCGTCTCCAGGATATCGTCAAGCAAATGCACGATGCCCACGAGGCAGAGGACCTTTCCGTCGAAGCGCTGCTTGATGTCGAATTTCACCATGCAGTCGGCGAAGCGGCTCATAACGTGGTGATGCTGCATACGCTGCGTTCCTGCTACCGGTTGCTTGAAAACGGTGTCTTTTACAATCGCGGCCGGCTCTACCACCACCCGAGCGCGCGAGACGAGTTGCTGCAACAGCACGTCGCGATCGCAGACGCGATCTGCGAGGGTGATGCAGTCGGGGCAAAGCGCGCATCAGAAGAACATATCGACTATGTACGCGGCACGCGTGCCGAGGCCGAACAACTCGACCAACGCGAACAACTGGCGGGCCTGCGTCGTATCAAACCCATTAAGAATTCCACTCGATCCTGATCCGGGGGAGGATAAATCGTGACGACTATTACCGATGTTGCCGACATGCAGGCTCTTGCAAAGCGCAGGGTTCCGAAAATGTTCTACGACTATGCGGATACCGGGTCATGGACACAAAGCACCTACCGGGAAAACGAAGCAGCGCTGCAACGCCAGAAGCTGCGTCAACGTGTTGCCCGCAACATCGACAACCGTTCGGTCAAGTCGACCATGATCGGTCGGGAAGTCGCCATGCCGGTCGCGTTGGCGCCCGTCGGGCTCACCGGCATGCAACACGCGGACGGCGAAATTCTCGCGGCACAGGCGGCTGAAGAATTCGGTATCCCCTTTACGCTGTCCACAATGAGCGTTTGCTCGATCGAGGACGTTGCGGAGCACACCAAGACCCCCTTCTGGTTCCAGCTCTATGTCATGCGCGACAGGGGATTTTCGGAAAACCTGATGCAAAGGGCAACCGCGGCGGATTGTTCGGCACTTGTGCTGACGCTCGACCTCCAGGTGCTTGGCCAACGCCATCAGGATCTCAAGAACGGCCTGAGCACACCACCCAAACCAAAGCCGAGCGTCCTTGTCGATCTCGCATTCAAGCCATTCTGGTGCTGGAACATGCTTCAGACAAAGCGCAGGGAATTCGGCAACATTCACGGGCACGTGGCTGGTGTCGACGACATGTCGTCGCTCGCTGAGTGGACGAACAGCCAGTTCGACCCGACACTTGACTGGTCTTCGGTCGAGTGGGTCAAGAAACACTGGGATCGCAAACTGATCCTGAAAGGCATCAACGATGTCGAGGATGCAAAAATCGCTGCCGGCCTCGGTGTGGATGCGATCGTGGTCTCCAACCATGGCGGACGTCAGTTGGACGGTGCTCTGGCCTCCTATGACGTCCTTGGCGACATCGTCGACGCGGTCGGGGACAAGATCGAAGTTCATTTCGACGGTGGGATCCGCTCAGGACAGGACGTCTTCAGAGCGGTCGCAATGGGTGCTCACAGTACCTATATCGGCCGGGCCTACATCTATGGCCTCGGCGCAATGGGCAAGGCTGGCGTGACCAAGGTTCTGGAGATGATCCACAAGGAACTGGACGTGACAATGGGCCTTTGCGGCGAGACCGACATCACGAATACCGGCCGGCATAACCTGGTGCTGTAGGTCACGGACGCCGGAGCAAGGCCAGCCATGCCCGGGCGATCGCTTCACCCAACGCGTCGGACTTGTCCGCGTGACGGGCAGCTTCCTCATCGAGCCGCTCGGGCCAGTCCGGCGTATGTGGAAGGATCTCGTCTGCAAGATTTTCAGACCATTCACGCACGTCCGCTGAGGCGGCTTCGAAATGGAACTGGATAGCGTATGTAGTCCGGCCGATGCGGAAGGCCTGTATCGGTGTCATTGCGCTTTCAGCCAGGTGAACAGCGTCTTCAGGAAGAGAAACGGTATCGGTGTGCCAGTGAAACAGTGGCCCGCCCTTTCCCAACGCCGAGACGACAGGATCGGCCTGGCCCTCTGCCGTTGGTGTCACGTACTGCCAGCCGAACTCAATGGGCCGGCTCAAAATGTTGCGTCCACCGAACGCCCGCGCGATGAGCTGGCAGCCAAGGCAGATCCCAAGCACCGGCCGATCTGCCTCGTGGAACGTCCTGATCAGACCACATAAGCGCGGCAGATGCGGATACTCCTTGTCCGCAAGGGCATTCTGGCCACCTCCGAGCGTCACCAAACCGCTAAAGGTGCCTGCCTCGTTCGGCAACTCCTCGCCCGCGTAGGCCCGGACAGTTTTCCACTTGTGCCCCATCCGGGTAGCCGTTCTGCCAAGTGCTGCCAACCCGGCATCCGGATAGTTCTCGATCACCAGCAGGGTCATCCCGTCTCCCGTGTCTTCCAGTTGCTCAAACTGCTTTCGCTGGTTGACCGTAATCATCTGAGTTCTTGATGCAAACATCAAAAACAATCATTTGCGCTTAAGTGAATTGAACGCCAGATTCCCTTCAGGATTTTCCAAGCATGGTGTTTTCATGAGCGTCGCTTCCCCCGCGATCCGCAACGGTTCAGGCGGTTTTTCTGCAATGGATTACGGGCTCTATGCAGCCACGGTGCTTGCCTGGGGCTTCAGCTGGATCGCGATGAAAAGTCAGGTTGCCACCGTGGCGCCGGAAGTCTCCGTCTTCTGGCGATTTGTGCTGGCAGTTGCGGTCATGATGGCATGGGCAAAATTCCGCGGCCACAACATGTCCTTCCCAGTGCAGGATCACTTCCGCTTCGCAGGCCTTGGAGCCTTTTTGTTCTCGACCAACTTTACATTGTTTTACTATGGCGCCATGCAGATCCCCTCCGGGCTGCTTGCCGTGATTTTCTCCACCGCATCAATCTTCAACCTGTTTCTTGGGCTGATCGTATTCGGTCAGCGCCCCAATCCCTTGGCACTGTTGGCAGGCACAATCGGGTTTGCAGGGATCGCCCTGATGTTCTGGCCGAAACTGGTCGGTGCCGAATTCAACACACATGCGGCAATCGGACTGGGCATATGCGTTGCAGGCACGCTGTCATTCTGTGTTGGCAACATGGTCTCCGCCGACACCCAACGGCGCGGCATCGGAGTAGTCCCCGCGACCGCCTGGGGCATGTTCTACGGAATGATGTTTCTGGGGTTGTTTTCAGCCATTCGTGGACAGAGCTTTGCCGTCGAATGGTCGATCAGCTACTTCAGCGGACTTGTCTATCTTGCAATTTTCGCATCGGTCATTGCCTTTGCGTCCTATCTGACCCTTCTGGGGCGGATCGGCTCTGCGCGGGCAGGCTATGCGACCGTCATGTTTCCGGTGGTCGCGCTTACGCTCTCGACAATCTTCGAGGGATACCAATGGACCACCGCTGCGGCCCTGGGTGTGGTCTTCGTGCTTGGCGGAAACATTCTGATGCTGCGCGCGCGTTGAAACGCCAATCATGAAGCGAAAGGACCTGGTGGCCGAATATCTTATTCAGCCGCAAGCTGGCCGGTACCGCCACCGACATTGCCTATTGCCGCGACAAGGTGATTGCACAGGGTATCGTGCATGGCTTCACGGGCCGTGTCCGACCGCAAAAGGGCGATGTCGCAAGACGGCAGAGCAGGAAATCCGTCTCTTTCATCCAGAATACGCATTCCGTCGCGGATCGCACTTTCCGGAAACACGGTGACTGCAAGCCCTGCCTGCACCGCTCCAACGAGAGCTGCCGCACTGGAGCTGGTATAAGAAACGCGATATCGCCGCCCGACCCTGTCCAGCGCGTCCATCGACAGTCGCCGCCAACCGCAGGTCGACGGCCCCAGCGCCAAGCGGATGATGTCCTGCGTATGCGCGCAATGCTGACTGGATGTCACCCAGTAGAGCGGCTCGCGCCGGATGATCTCGCCGCGAAGATCCATCGTATCGCTCGACGTGGTGATGGCAACATCCAGCGCCCCATCGCGGATCGCTTCAGTCAGTTTGCTGCTTCCCGAACACTCGACCTGCACTTCAATTGATGGATTCAGCCGGTTAAAAGCGGCCAGAACCTGTGGCAAGAGACGGTCCGCGTAATCGTCCGGCACGCCGAGCTTGACGTGGCCAACTTCCTTTTGACCGTTGAATGCAGTGAGTGTCTCGTCGTTCAGAAGGATCATCCGCCTGGCATATTCGACCAGGCGCTGCCCGTCTTCGGTCAGCCGTGACTGTCGTCCGTCCTTGATGAATATGGCCTGTCCGACGCGCTCTTCCAGCCGGCGCATCTGCATGGATACAGCCGATTGCGTCTTGTGCACAGCTTCGCCTGCCTTGGTGAAGCTGCCCAGTTCCGCAATCGCTAAAAACGTGCGGAGCTGATCAATATCCAGCGCGTGATTCATGTGAATGCTCCACGGCACAACCACTTGTCAGTCGGTTGATTTGAGATTCGAATTAATTGAGCGAAGATACATCACAAATTCTTACATTACAAACAATATTTCAGCCCAGCGAACAACTTGTCCTCGACGCAAGTTATTGCAAACAAAACAAAACTTACAGAAACCGATTTCTACTCCGCCGCCTGGGGAACGGAGAGGTTGTCCAGCGAAGAAACGATATGTTCGACCAGAGCGTCCGTTACCCGCGAACTGTTGTGCCAGGATCGCATGATGCCGATTTCGCAATCAGGAAGTTTCGGAAAGCCATCGGCTTCCGTCAGGACACGCATACCTGAGCGCAAGGCCGACTCCGGCAGAACGGAAATTGCCAGTCCGGCAAGGACAGCTGCCCCCACCGCCGTGGAGTTCCAGCTAGAATAAAGCAGGCGGTGTTCGCGCATCTGGTCTCCAAGTGCATTGATCGCCGCCTTTCGCCAGTCGCATGTCGCTCGGCCCAGCGCCAAAGGTAAAGGAGACTCGTTTTCAACCGCATGGCGCGCCGAAACGACCCATAAAAGTGGTTCGCGGCGCACGAGATCCACGTGTTTGCGACCTTTCTTTTGAACATGCGTGATGATCGCGACGTCCAGTTCTCCTTCGGAGATCATGTCGGCAAGATTGGGGGTGGGCGCGCACACAACGCTTACTTCAGCCTTGGGATTCGACCTTGAAAACCTGGCAAGAATCTCGGGCAGAAAGCGGTCGGCGTAGTCATCCGGCGTTCCCAGACGGACAAGACCGGCAAGTTCGGTATCGTCAAAGGCGGCAAGTGTTTCATCGTTCAGCTGGACAAGCCTGCGGGCATAATGAAGCAGCCGTTCGCCATGCTCGGTCAACCGGGACTGACGCCCGACCCGCACGAAGAGCGGTTTGCCGATGCGTTCTTCCAGCCGTCGCATCTGCATGGAAACCGCCGACTGTGTCTTGTTCACATTGTCGGCTGCCTTGGTGAAACTGCCGCTTTCCGCGATCGAGACAAAAGTTCGTAGCTGATCCAGGTCGAGCATTTCCACTCCAAACTATAAGAGATGATCATGTGTAACATGACACTCATTCGATCGGGAAATGTTTATTGACTGTTCGACCATCACGCGACCTGCCTGCCTGTCGAAAAACTCACATCACACATACTGATCAATTCCATCAAAAACATTCGTTGGAATTATGTTTGAAGATAGCGCATCTTGAGGATGTTCCTCAGACAATGATCGCCACGACCGGCGCGGAACAAGTTGCCGAAACTTCGTTCGGCCGCTAACAGGAGACTTTTGCCATGACACATATCGCAAGCATCCCCTTCGTCGCTCTCTTCGGGCAGATGGCTGCCCGTGCATGGCGTGTGTTTACAAACCGCCGCCATGTGACCGAACTCAAGTATTGGTCCGACGAGCAGTTGAAGGACATCGGTTTGACGCGGAGCGACGTTCGACGAGCGTTGGCCCTCCCCTTCTACCGAGATCCGACATCTTCACTGAGCAATCTTCCGGAATTCGCTTTGCCGACGCATCTCAGCGCTGCCAACACCGCGAAGGAGAATCCGGCCCTTACGCTCATTGACGGATGCAAGCCGAAATCCGGGCAGATCGCTGCCTGATCCCAATCGAGTCCCCCCGATTGCAGCCCCCTGTCGGCAAACCTTGCTGACATTCACTGACCCGCCTTTTGGCGGGTCTTTTTTTGCCAGATCAGTTCATTTCTTGTCGTAGTCCCGCGCCGCTTTTTCAAAGAAACTGTCGAATGCCTTGAACTGGCTCGACTGAAAATCCCGGCCGGCTGCCAGCCAATTCGATACCATTTCATCTATCTCGGAGGATTCGGCGTCAAGATCTTCCTCAGGAGCCTCCGGCTCTTCCTCGGGCTCCGGTTCAGGTGCTGCGTCTTCTTCCGTATCCCGGGTTTCGGTCACAAGGCTGGCCGGCTGGAGAAATGACCCCCAGAATGCGTTCATTGCGTCCGCATAACCTTGCATGTAGTCGACCGGTGTCGGCTGAGGTTTGGGACGGCCACGGGCGAAGCCACGCAGATAGGCATCAAGGAGATTGCGCGCCTCCCCGTGCACAAAGGGGCGCGCCACCTGCCCCATGGCGAGCGTTGCCGCAACAGGCATCATTTCCTGAATGGCATCGCTCTGCAGACCGGTAAGACCGGATATCTGTCCGGCAAGCGCCTTTTGAACCGCTTCCGGACCAAAAAAGGGCGTTAGAGCGGTTTCAGATGCATTTTGAACAAAACCGGCAAAAGGAGACTTCGCCGCCTCATCGAATGAAGACGGCAGACCGGGAAAATCCGAAAATCCGGGCACCGTGCTGCCGAAATGCCGGAAGCCGTTGAGAGCCGCAGGCAAAAGCTGCTCCATCACGCGACTCAAGTCGTCGTTCGACCAGCCAAACCGCTCTCTGACATCCTCCGCCAACGAAAAAACGTCAAATGGAGGCGCACCCTTGTCGCTGCCCGTCATCGCTTTGCTCCGGTCAATTTCCAGCGAGGTCCTGAGGAACAAGACCAACCGGTACAAGAGTGACGCTTCAGGAGGCTCAGGTCAATTCGCAGGCGAGACCAGGCCCTTTTGGTCACTGATCTTTTTTGCGATGGCTTCAATTAGTAAGCGTATTCGCGAAACACCTGCGTGATGTCACCGTTCCAGGAGCCGTTGTAGCGCTGCAGCAGAATGTCTGCCGGGCACATGCCCGCGGCAAGGCCTTCCTCGAGCGGCGCCAGGTGGACACGTTCGTCCAGGTCGCCGTCGCTAAGCCGGTTGCGCCGCTTCAGTCCCTCTTGCGCCAGGGCCAGTACATCCTTGGCAACGTCGAGAACCGTTCCTTGCCGGAAAGGTGTCTGCAAGGCCGACCCCGGAACGCCGCTGCGCAATGCGGCGCGCTCTTCCGCGGTCCAGTCCTTGACCAGTTCCCAGGCCTGGTCGAGCACGCCGCTGTCGTAAAGCAGTCCGACCCAAAGGGCGGGAAGCGCGCAAATGCGGCGCCAGGGCCCACCATCGGCCCCACGCATCTCAATGAATTTCTTCAGCCGGACATCCGGGAAGAGTGTTGAAATGTGGTTGTTCCAATCGCCAAGACTTGGCGTGGCATCGGGAACCCGGCCTTCCAGCGCCCCCTTCATGAACTGGCGGAAGGTCGTATCCGTCACGTCGTAATAGGTCTCTCCGCGCTTGACGAAATACATCGGCACGTCGAGTGCCCAGTCCACGTAGCGCTCAAAACCGAACCCTTGTTCAAATACAAAGGGAATGTCGCCTGTTCTGTCCACGTCGGTATCGGTCCAGATCTGCGCGCGGAAAGACTTGAACCCGTTCGGCTTGCCGTCGGTAAACGGAGAATTTGCAAACATGGCGGTCGCGATCGGCTGAAGCGCAAGGCCAATGCGCATTTTGCGGATCATGTCGGCCTCGGAGGAGAAATCGAGGTTCACCTGGATCGTCGACGTTCGATACATCATGTCAAGGCCGAGCGACCCGACCTTCGGCATGTAATTGGTCATGATGTCATAGCGGGACTTCGGCATGCGCGGAATTTCCGCACGCGTCCATGTCGGCGTCATGCCGATTCCCAGGAAGCCGACACCCATCGGCTCGGCGATCTGGCGGACATGGGCCAGATGCTGATTGGCTTCACGGCAGGTCTGGTGGAGATTTTCCAACGGGGCTCCGGAGAGTTCGAACTGTCCTCCCGGCTCAATGGAAATTGCACCCCCGCCCTCGTTGTCGGCGAGACCGATGATCTTGCCTGCGTCTTCGATGCGCTCCCAGCCAAGGAGACTTTCCATGCCTTCCAGAACCGCTTCGACTCCGTTGGAACCTTCATACGGAATGGGAGACAATTGCTTCAGACAGAAACCGAACTTCTCGTGCTCTGTGCCGATCCGGAAACGGTCTTCCGGCTTGCAGCCCTCTTCGAGAGTTGCGGCAAGGTCCGCAACAGTTTCAATCGGTGTGGTATCGACCGTATCGCGGGCCATGAAACCGTCCTAAGTGTCTGCGCGGCAAGTCACGAAACGCGTTGTGAGCACTCTCGTTTCCGCAATGATCCGGCACGTTTCATGTAAAACGCACTCGAGCTTGCGTGATTTAGGAGGCTTGAAACAAGAATGCAAGGAAGGAAACCGCAGATGCGTTCGTTCACGCAATTCTGAACACGGATAGCGGATCGTCCCGACCACGCAGTTGCACCGGGCCGAGACTGGTTGTGCTCGCACCTTCCGGCAGATGCGCCATGGTTTGCGCGCTTGCAAGCGCAATCACCTTTGCGTCGGGGTCGACCTGTTTTCCATATTCCTGCAGTCTCGCAGCGACATTCACGGCGTCGCCAATGACGGTGTAGTTCATGCGCGAGGAGGTTCCGATATCGCCGACAACCACCTTTCCGGTGTGCACACCTATCCGGACCCGCAAATCGATGTCCGGTGACTGATTGATCCGTTCAGCGAGAGACTTGACCGCCTTGATCGCCATGGCCGCGTGATCGGGCTGGTCGGAAGGCGCGCCCCAGAACGCCATGACACCGTCCCCCAGAAACTTGTCAATCGTTCCCTGGCTTTCGGCGATCGCATCGGAAACAGTTTCGAAGTACCCGTTGAGGTAAGACGCGGTTTCCTCCGCAGACAGATGAGAGGCCAGCCCGGTAAAACCCGCGAGGTCGGCAAAAACGATCGTCATCTCGCGCAATTCGATATTCCGCGCACTTGTCATGCCTTCTTCGATTAGGCGGGACACAAGTTGCCGGGGAACATACCTGGCAAAGGCGTTCAGCGCACCGACAGAACCGTTGAAGGCCTGGTTGACATCGTCCAGCTCGGCCAGCCGTGACCGCGGCAGACGTTCAGCCGCCTCAAAATTCAGTTGCCGCAGCTCGGCGGCGGAATGAGCCAGCCGTCTCAGGGGTCTGCCCAACATGCGTCCGACCATGAAGGACAACAGCGCCCCGACGAACAACGCGACAATTGCGGCATAAAGGACAATACGGGTCTGATCGAGTGCAGCGCCGAACTGATCTGCCTGATAGAGCGTGCCGACAATCCAGCCCTCGGCTGGACCTTCATCCACTTTGGAGAAGATCGCCGTGAACATGCCTCTTTCACCGGGAAACACCCGGCCATCAACCTCCCCTCCCATATTGTGGGCCTGTTGCTGATCCTTCCAGATCAGGTGCAAAGGAGTGTTCTTGAGGTCCGCAAGATCCGGCAGGGGGCTTTGCGGTCTGGAAGCAAAATCGTTTTCCGGCACCCCCTCCACCACGATTGCCTTGTCCCGGCTTTCCAAAAGAAACACCTTCTGCCGGCCTTCCCAGGACATCTGGTCAGCAATCCCGGCAAACACGGGCTGAGGGTAAAAGGCGAAAAGCGACCGGGTGTCGCCAAGGCCGAGTTCCGCGACCAGAACCGCGGTCGAAAATCCTTCCTTGTACCGGAATGGCGCCCAGGCAACGATCGGTTTCTCATCGCCCGGTGTTTCACTCAGACCCGTTTGCCCGAGTTCCAGCATTGCGCCGTCGGGCAAGAGCCTGAGATAAGGTGCCAGATCTGCGTCCCCAAACTGCTCGCCGGATGCGGAGGCATGAACAGCAATCGACCTGAGGAACTGTTCCTGCTTCTGGAAAAATTGCTTCAGGGTCGCTTCATTGCCCTTCAGAACGGCCAATGCCTGCTCATCCAGCAATCGCCCGGCGATCCGCCTGTCGGCAGACGCCATATAGGAAATGATGATGCCGCAGATCACGACCAGCAGCAGTGAAAAAACCAACCCGAGCGCTATTCCCACGGGAAGCCGGAAACGATTGCGGTCTGTCTCCATCACAGCATCGGAATCCGGTAGATCCACACCGGATTTTTCAAGCGCCTTGCCACGTCCGGATGAGGAATCTCCCGGTGGAAGGATGTCCTGCTGCAATGAGTTATCTCCAGTCGCCAACCGTTGCCTGTATGATGGTCAATGCGGCTACCGCCGCAGTATCGGCCCTCAATATACGGGGTCCGAGCGGAATTGCGGTAACGAAATCCAGACCACGCAGATGGCTGCGCTCGTCGTCGGAAAATCCGCCTTCCGGCCCGACGATCACCGCAAGCGGTTGAGGACCGGCTTCCTTCATCTGTGCAAGGGTCAGCAATGGATTGTGCGTTCCTTCCGCCTCGTCGCAGAACAGCAGACGGCGGTCCGGATGCATTTGCGGCCACTCGGCCAGGACGTCTTTCAGAGTCTGTGGACCAATGACTTCTGGAATTGAAAGAATGCCGCACTGTTCAGCGGCTTCGATGACATTGGCTTCCATGCGCTCGAGGTTGATGCGGCTGGACTGAGTGTGCTGGGTCATGACCGGCTGGAGACTACCCACACCCATCTCCACCGCCTTTTGCACCATGTAGTCGAGCCTGGCATGTTTGAGCGGCGCGAAAAGATAGATCAGATCATTGTGCTCGGTCTGCTCCCGCGTGCGCTCCATCACCTGCAGTGTGCAATCACGGCGGCTGCCGCTGGAGATTTTTGCAAGCCATTCCCCGTGATTGCCATTGAAGACCAGCAGGTAGTCGCCGTCCTTCATCCGCAACACATTCATCAGATAATTGGCCTGGCTTCGGTCGGCCTCGATCCTGGCGCCTTCGGCAAGAACGTGCCGCAAAAACAAACGCTGCATCTTGTATTCGTATTTTCCCATGTGTCGAACGTAGGCGACCGATTGTGTATGTTTCAAGGCGTATAGTCGGGCCTTGCCTGAACTACACAACATTCGGCGACGAGCGGTGTCACAGCCTTCTCAAGTTGCGCGACAACACGTTCACTTTCCCGACGGCATGAGGATGACGTGACCCGGCATCTTGACCCGTCACCGGCAAGCAGCCACTTTCGGGTTAAGAAAAGGAATCACACGCGTGAGCGAAACCCCGTCCAACGTCGCCGAATTTTCCGTCTCCGAGATTTCGTTCTCCATCAAGCGCACGATGGAAGACACCTTCGGATATGTCCGGGTGCGCGGCGAACTGGGGCGCATCTCACGTCCGGGGTCGGGCCATATCTACCTGGACCTCAAAGACGACAGGGCGGTTCTGTCCGGCGTCATCTGGCGCGGTGTTGCCTCGAAACTGAAGATCCAGCCGGAACAGGGGCTGGAGGTGATCGCCACGGGCAAGATCACGACATTCCCGGGTCAGTCCAAGTACCAGATGGTGATTGACGCACTTGAACCCGCTGGTGCCGGAGCGTTGATGGCACTTCTGGAAGAGCGCAAGAAAAAGCTCGCGGCAGAAGGCCTTTTCGCGGAGGAACGCAAGCAGGTACTGCCGCCCTTGCCAAAAGTGATCGGCGTGGTCACGTCACCGACCGGTGCCGTCATTCGGGACATCCTGCACCGGATCTCCGACAGATTTCCGCTGCATGTGCTGGTCTGGCCGGTTCGCGTGCAGGGAGAAACATCGGGTGCGGAGGTTGCCAACGGTATTCGCGGTTTCAATGCGCTGGAAGCCGGCGGCGCCATACCGCGACCGGACCTGCTGATCGTTGCGCGTGGCGGCGGCAGTATCGAAGACCTCTGGGGCTTCAACGAGGAGACCGTGGTGCGGGCTGCTGCTGACAGCCAGATCCCCCTGATTTCCGCTGTCGGACACGAGACCGACTGGACGCTGATCGATCTGGCCGCCGACGTTCGCGCACCCACACCCACAGGGGCTGCGGAAATCGCTGTCCCGGTAAAGGCCGAGTTGATGGCGATGGTCGACGACCGTTCGCGGCGGCTCAACTCAGGTCTTGTCCGGTTCGTCACGGGCCGCAGAACGGAACTGAGGGCGGCGAGCGCCGCCCTGCCGGCCCCGCAAGACCTGCTGGCGTTGCCACGGCAAAAATTCGACACGCTTGCCAACGGTCTCGAGCGCGCGCTGATCGTCAGTACGAAAAGTCACAGATCCACATTCCAGAACCTGGCCGGACGCCTCTCTCCCCTGCTGCTTTCGCGGCTCAGTTCCAAGGCGCGGCAGGATCTCAGCAATGCCAGCGACCGGCAGCAGCGCGCACTCACTGTTGCGGTTGCTCAAAAGCGGCAGGCATATACCGCTGTCGCTGCGCGTCTCACGCCTTCTCGCCTGTCCCAGCAGACGCTACTCGGCCAGGAGCGCGTCACCGGGCTTTCGGAACGGCTCGACAGGGCTTTCCTCGCACGCGTTACCCACGAGAAAAGCAGGCTCGACGGATTGCAGAAGTTGCTCAAGTCGCTGTCCTACAAAGATGTTCTTGCGCGCGGATATGCCGTTGTCCGCGATGAAGCCGGACAACCGGTCAGATCCGCAACCGCTATTGCCTCAGGTGCGGCACTTGCCATCGAGCTGGCCGATGGAACAGTGGATGCCGTGGCGATGAGTGATAGCGCCGCTGCCACCCCCCGCAAAGGCAAGACCAAAAAGTCCACTTCTTCAAAATCGCGGCCGGAAAATCAAGGAGACCTCTTCTAGCTTCCCGATTTCGTTTTTGGAAAATCCTGCCACCCGACAGGAAGCAGACCGACCCCTTGTTTTCTTCAATCTGCTTAGGGTTAATTTAACCAGTTCCCTTACCGCTATCTTAAGTTGTCTCCCCTAGCGTAAGCCGAAATGATTGAGCTTGTAGACGGGGCAGTCAGAAAATGCAGCGCAAACAATTCGGCAAACGCGGTGTTCAGCAATCCGTACCGCAATTCGGCGACAGGAACACGAGCTACGCTTCCGCAGGCATGCCGGCCTATGCATCGGCTGGCGGTGGTGCAGCGACCTTCGAAGACGACGACAATTTTTCCATCGGAAAGATGCTGGGACTTGCGTTCGGCATGCTCTTCAGTTTCCGGGGCCGTCTTGGCAGAATGGAATACTGGGTAATCGGATCCATTCGGTTCGTCCTGTTCATTGCCGTGTTGATCGCGTTTGTCTTCGCAGTCGGGCCACACATGAGTGGCCTGTCGGAAGAACAAGCGAATATTGCGCTGATGAAATATGCATTCGGCACGGCCAAGGGCGGGGTCATGACTTTTCTGCTTCTGACCCTGACATTGTGCCAGTGGTCGCTGGAAGCCCGGCGTTGCCACGATCGGGACTCCTCTGCCCTTTATCTGCTCATCCTGTTCATACCGATCGTCGGCAGCTTGTATGCCATCTATCTCTTTATCGTGAATGGCTTCTTTCCCGGCACTCCTGGCCCCAACCGATTTGACACTGTTCGCAGCCAGGCACAGATTTTCGACTAAGCGTATACAAGCAAATATCGGGACAAAAGAACCGCCGCTGGAGCGCCAACTCCAGCGGCGGTATTTTTTTTCGCAGGTGTCATCCAACACCTTACCGAGCGTGCTTGCGGCCCGGCATCATCCCATGAGGGACGGTAACAGCGTTATGATCGACGGAAAGGCGAGCAGCCCGGCAATCGTCAGGACATCAGCAACGAAAAACGGGATGCAGCCCCGAAAGACTTCCTGAACCGGAATATCGGGCCGCACGCCCGAGACGACGAAACAGTTCAGGCCTATGGGCGGGGTGATCAGACAGAGCTCCGCCATTTTCACCACCAGAATGCCGAACCAGATTGCACAAGCCTCCCCCGACATGCCAAATGCGCTGTCCGCTGCCGAAACACCTTCGCCGCCATTCAGCGCGATCACTGCCGGATAAACAACAGGAAGGGTCAGGATCAGCATGCCGATCGCATCCATGAACATGCCGAGCACGGCATAGGCCAGCAGGATGCAGATCATGACGATCCACGGGGAAAATTCCAGGCCGACGATAAATTCCCTGAAGGCGTCGGGTAATCCGGCAAATCCCAGGAAACGGACATAGACCAGCACACCCCAGATCAGGGTGAAGATCATCACGGTCAACCTGGCGGTTTCATGCAAGGCCTGCCCGAGCTGTTTTACCTTCATGCCCTTTGCAAAGGCGACGACCAGAACCACAAAGGCCCCCAGAGACCCTGCCTCGGTCGGTGTTGCCAGGCCAAAGAAGAACGAACAGAAGATAATGGCAACTACGGCAACGATCGGCAGTGTTCCCGGTACGCTTTCCAGGCGTTCCGCCCAGGTGAACCCCTTGACGGCCGGCGCGTCGCCGCGCCAGGCAGAGACCGCCACGATGATCCCGACATAGATCAGTGCTGAAAACACACCCGGCAGGAACCCGGCAATCAGCAACTTGCCCACCGATTGTTCGACCAAAATGGCGTAGATCACCAGAATGGCTGACGGCGGTATCAGTGAAGCCAGCGTGCCGCCGGCAGCCACGACGGCGGCAGACAGCCGTTTGGAATAGCCCGCCGCAAGCATCTCGGGAATGGCGACCCGGGCGAAGACCGCTGCCGTTGCTACCGACGCGCCGGAAACCGCCGCAAATCCGGCTGTGGAGAATACCGTGCCGACGGCCATGCCACCTGGAAGCCAGCCGAGCCACCTTTTGGCAGCCTCGAACAACTGCTTGGTGAAGCCTGCATAAAAAGCCAGAAATCCGATAAGGATAAATGTCGGCAAAACCGAAAGGGCATAAGTGACGGATTTTGAATGCGGGATTGTGCCAGCCATCTTCAGGGCGACGAAGAAGCCCCGCTCAAACCCCATCTTCATGGAGAAATGAACGATCAGCCCGACAAGACCCGTGAAGGCCGCGGCAAAAGCCACGCGGACACCGAAAATTACAAGGACCAGAAGCACTCCGGTCATCAGGATGCCAACTTCAAACGGGGTCATCTGGAAGCCTCCTCATCGGTTTCATCACCAAAGGCTTCTTCGATCTCGTGCTGCGCAACGTCCTCGACATTCTCGATCATCGGAACCTCGACCGGTTGTCTTGCCGGATTGGCGACCAGGCGGGCGTATCCGTAAATCTGTAGCAGGAGCCGCAGGAAAAGCAGGCCGAGCGCCACCGGAATCACCAGTTTCGACGGCCAGGTGGGGAGGCGAATGTCCATGGTGCTGTCGCCAATGGCCCACGACCGGTCAAAATGATACAGCGATCCCCAGATCAGCAGGGCGACCGTGAAGGCGATCAGCATGACGCCGAGCATTTCGCAAATGTAAAGTGTGCGGCCGCGCAACTGTCCGAGCACAATCTCCATCCGGATATGTCCTCCCACGCGCTGGCAATAAGCAACGCCCGCGAATGCAAAGATCGCCATCGCCTGCTCGGTGATATCGATGAACCCGGGTATCGGCGTGTTGAACAGCAACCGTCCGAGTACCTGCGCAACGGCGAGCAGGATCAACGCCAGAATGGAAAACGCGGCGAATAGGTTAAATCCGTTTTCGATATGGGCGAGAAAGCCGCTGAAGTGGATGTAGGTGGTCGGGCGCTCCGGATCGGAACGTCCAGCGGGATCGATTGTCATCATGAGTGTCAGCCCCGAGGCAGAGCTTTCCGGCGCTCATTCCGCGCGCCGGAAAGCAACAAGGTCAAACCAGCAACGCGGGCTTATTCGGCAATGGTCTTCTTGACCATGTCGAGCAGTTCCTGCGCCGGAAGACCAGCGGCTGTCTGCTCTTCGATCCAGGCGTCATGGATCGGGCCGGCCTTTTCAGCAAAGGACGTCAGTTCCTCATCCGTGAATTCCACCTGGACAACACCACGGTTTTCCAGTTCCGGCCACCACTTGTCGTAGACCTTCGCATAGGTGGCGAGATAGTGGGCAAGCGCGGGATCGACGGAGTCGTCAAGTGCCGCCTTGAAGTCATCCGGCAACGCGTTGTAGGCGTCGACATTGACGACGATCGGGCAATGAACGGTGCCCGGGTTGAGGTTCTTTGTCCACCAGTCCGCAACTTCCACGACCTTGAAGGATAGGTGTGCGTGCGGTGCAAATCCGGCAGCCTGAACCGTTCCGGAATCAATTGCCTGATAGGTCTCGGAAGCCGTTACGGATGTCGGAACCGCACCGACTGCGTCCATCAGCTTGCCCAGTCCGCCAAGCGCGCGAACACGCATGCCGTCGAAATCGGAAATCGATTTAGGCACCTCTCCCTTGCCGGCAAAGTTATATTGCGGCATCGGCGACGGCATCAGCAGTTTCGCGTTCCAGCGGCCGAGGTCTTCCTGAACTGCCGGATGATCGTAGAGCGCCTTTGAAACCTTCACTTCGGTTTCGAGGTCATTCACGCCAAGAAACGGCAATTCCAGAACAGTAAGGGTCGGGTTCTTGTCCGCATGATAGGACGCACAGAACTGAGCCATTTCGAACGCACCGAAGGAAATTCCGTCGAGATTTTCCCGGGACTTCGACAGCGCTCCACCATAGTGCAGCTTGATTTCGAACTTGCCGTCCGTCTTTGCGGCAACTTCCTCGGCGAGTTTTTCAACATGCTCGGTGAACGCCCGGCGCTTGCCCCAAAGGGACACATTCCATGTCACGTCGGCGGCGAAGGTTTCGGTGGCGAATACGACAGACAGTGCAACCGCCGATACAGCGGTCGCGGACTTCAGTGAAAAGAGCATGAAATCCTCCCAGATATTTTGCTCATTTCCTTGGCGACTCACCCCGCAGGCAATTCACCTGTGAGCCGTGCCAAGTCGACGGGATCTAAGCACAGGACGTGCCAATTGCGAACTGGCGACGTAACTGCCTGTGACAACAGGTCTTTCGTAAAGAACAAGCGATCCGTGAGCTTACGGGTTGGCAAGAATCCGCCTATCGGAAACATCAATCGGCGGATTTCCGCCTAAACCTCAACTGTATCTGCATTGCCAGGCTGCTCGCGGGTGAGGCCATGCCGTGCCATCTTTTCGTTCAAGGTCCTGCGCGGAAGATTGAGCTCCCGCATCACATCAGCGACGTGTCCCTTGTGCCGCCTGAGAGCGCTCTCGATAAGGCTGCGCTCATACGCGTCCATGAGGTCCCTGAGCCCGCTCGACGGTTTCAGCGTTGCGGCTCCCCTGTGCCCGGTCACCAGGACTTCCAGCGGCTGCGGACTGACAGCAGCATTCAATACGAAACGTTCGGCAGCGTTCCGCAACTCGCGAACATTGCCCGGCCAGGCATAGGTTTGCAGGAATGCTTCATCACGCGCCGAGAGACCGGGGGTGGATACCGCATATTGTGCCGCGAGACGATTCAGGAACGTATCGAACAAAAGCAGACTATCCCGCCCCCGTTCGCGCAACGGCGGCAGGTGAAGTTCGATCGTGTTCAGCCGGAACAACAGGTCTTCGCGCAATCGGCCCGACCGAACCGCTTCCCGTGGATCCAGGTTGGAGGCACTGACCAGCCGAACGTTCACATTGACCGGTTTGGTGCTGCCAATCCGGTCCACCTTGCCTTCCTGCAGTACCCGCAGGAGTTTCGGCTGAAGGGTGAGCGGCATTGAAACGATTTCATCCAGAAACAGCACGCCATTGTCGGCTGTTTCGATCCGGCCGATATGTCTGCGGTCCGCACCGGTAAATGCTCCGGCTTCGTGACCGAAAAGCTCCGCTTCCACCATTGACTCGGGCAAGGCAGCTGCATTGACAGCGACAAACGGTGCTTCGTTGCGCTGGCTGAATTCATGGAGCGCCTGAGCAATCACTTCCTTGCCGGTGCCGGTTTCGCCCGTGATCAGGACAGCCGCGTCCGTTCCGGCGAAATGCAGGATCTGCTGGCGAAGCGTCTCGATCTCCGGACTGTTTCCGATCAGCCGGCTCTCAAGACCGGCTCCGTCGGCAAGCTGTTTCTTCAGCGCACGATTTTCCGTAACAAGAGCACGCTTGTCAGACGCCCGGCGAACCACTTCGGCGATGTGGTCCGGATCGAACGGCTTTTCGATGAAATCATAGGCTCCGGCCCGCATGGCCTCGACTGCCATCGGAACGTCACCATGCCCGGTGATCAGGATAACCGGCAGATCGGCATCATGTGAACCGATCCTGCGCAACAGGGAAAGACCGTCTTCGCCTTCCAGCTTCACATCAGAAACGACACAGCCATCAAAACCGGCAGCCAGCCTCGACATGGCTTCATCGGCTGTGGCGACCTCGAGCGTTGCAAAACCGGCAAGCCGGATCCACTGTCTTAGCGCCGCCCTCATGGAGGGGTCGTCATCGACAATAAGAACTTTCTGGGTATCCGGCTGTCCGGTCATTCTGCGGCTTCGTTATCCATGTCCTGGGTCTGGCTTGACGGCCTCATTCCGCTTTCAATTGCAGGCAGCGTCAGCTCGAACACAGCTCCTTTAGGCGTTTCTGTCCTTACAGACAAGCTGCCTCCGAGGTCCTCGGCAAGGCGCATGGAGATTGCCAGGCCAAGACCCATCCCTCCAGAACTCGTCTTCGTGGAGAAAAACGGGTCGAAAATCCGTTCACGCAAGTCTTCCGGGATACCGGGTCCGTTGTCGGAGATCTCCAACCTGATTTCATTGTCAATCAGCTGCGCAATCAACCGAACTTGACCTTCTCCTTCCGCCGCAGCCGCGTCGGCGCCGTTGCGCAGGAGGTTCACCAGGATCTGCTCTACCCGCAAGGGGGCGGTTTCGGTTTCAAGCGCAGTGTCCGGCAGCTCCATTTTCAGGAAAACACCCGTTTCCTCAAAGCGTGGCCGGACAATCTTTTCCGCTGTCCGGATACTTTCCCTCAGGTCGATTTTCTCGATCCGGCTTTCTCCCGGACGAGCGAAGCGTTTCAGTTCCTGGGTGAGGTTTGCCATGCGCAGCTGGATACCATCGATTTCCTTGAGGTTCTCAACAGCGGTCCCGGTATCGCCCTTGTCCAGAAACTTGCGGGTTCCTGCAACGAACATCCGTAGCGCGGAAAGCGGCTGGCTCAGTTCGTGAACTACGGCTGCCGACATTTCGCCGACAGCAGCGAGGCGGTTGGATCGCGCCAGACCGCGCTGTGCTTCCAGCAATTCCCGTTCGATCCTGCGGCGCTCCTGGATCTCGCCCACGAGTCGCGTGTTGAGTTCCTTCAGGTCCGCCGATTCCTGGCGCAGCTGGACCGAGGTCTTGCGCAGCCGACGGCCACGCAGAACCAGCAGGATGACCACATAGACCAGGCAAAGCGTGATGGTAACCGCCCAGATCGGCAATACGCTTTTGCGCGTTTCTTCCACCGGCACAAGAAAATGCAAGGTCCAGCCAAGCAAACCGACCTCTGCAGATTTGTGCCTGAACATATTGCCGTCAATCGTAACCAGTTCACTTGAAATGACCGGCTGATCGCTGACCGGGAGAAGGCTTTGCGAGGCATATTGCCGTGTCGTATTGATCGTCTGGCGCACGCCGGGCGGCAATTCGGACAGCGTACGGTAGCGCCATTCCGGCCGGCTTGAGAGAAAAATCACGCCGTTTTCATCAGATGCAAAGACCGTTTCCCCGCCTTCAGCCCAAGCTGCCTCGAGAGGACGCATGTCCACTTTGACCACGGCCGCTCCGATCGGCTTGCCCGATACCGGCGTTGGCCGTGCCAGAAACAGACCGGGTTCACCCAGCGTTGCCCCGATCGCGAAAAACTGCCCCTCTTCTCCCTTGATCGCGGATTTGAAATATGGACGAAAGCCATAATTCTGGCCGACAAGCGACAGCTCATCCTGCCAGTTGCTTGCTGCGAGCGTCGTTCCGTCTTCATTCATGACATAGAGCAGGTCAGCACCGGAATTGTCGGCCATTTCCTGCAGAAACCGGTTTGCACTTTCAATTGGCCGCCCGGACTGAAGAGCGAATGTCGCCCTTGGATCGCGGGCAATCATGTAAGGAAGATAGCGATATTTCTGGTACTCTCCCAGGATCGTCTGGCGATAGAGCGTCAGACGTTCCGCGGCCTTGCGATCGACGCTGTCCTCATCCAGATCCATAAAAAGCTGAATGAGGACAAAGGCGGCTGCAATGAGCAGAAGCGGCGGTATTGCCAGATATAACCAGCTTTTCGACATTCCCTGTTATTGCCCATTTTTTGGGCTGCGCCAGAAAACTGAATTGAGAACAAATCGGTGTTGACGAAAAAATCTATTGATACGCGTCAAGGACTCTCGTCATGCGTGTTGGTTAGTGTTTTCATGTGGCTGGCTTGCAGTCGTGTTCCAGGCCAATGGAGGAATGAATGCCAATCAAAGATGTTTTGACCATTCTCGACCTTGCAGGCGATCAGCCTGCCGCAAAATACGCCTTGGAATTCGGTCGAACCCACGATGCCCATGTTACCGGGCTCGCGGTATCGTTCGAACCCGTCGTACCTGCCTTTGCCGCCGCACCGATGCCTGTCGACTACATGCAGGCCGCACACGAGCAAGCGATAGCTGCCGCTAACGAGGCCAGGAAGGAATACGACGAACTTGCCCGGCTTGCCGCCGTCAACAGCGAAAGCCGGCTGGCCGAGATTCTGACAGGTGGCCCGTTGGAAAACGTCCTGGTTCACTGCCGCCCGACAGATCTGGTTGTCATCGGCCAGGCCAATCCGGATCGACCGGAACCGATGCGCGAACTGCTCATTGAAACGGTGCTTTTTGAAAGTGGCGTTCCGGTGATGCTCGTGCCCTATATCGGCAGCACGGCTTTTCAACCCAAGAATATTCTGGTCGGGTGGGATGGAAGTTCCACGGCAACCCGCGCCATCCACGCGGCACTTCCTGTTCTGGAAAAAGCCGAGAGCATCACCGTTCTCGTGATCGAGAAGAAGGCTTCTGCCGGGGAAGGTCAACCCGGCGCGGATGTCGCCAACTACCTGGCGCGCCACAACATGAACGTCACGGTCGAGGTCGTCGTCAATCCCCAGACGAGCGTCGCCGACACGGTGCTCAACCAGGTATCGGACAATGGCAACGACCTGGTTGTCATGGGTGGTTACGGGCACAGCAGAATGCGGGAGTTCCTCTTCGGAGGCGCGACCCGGGAAATCCTGGAGGCCATGACCGTTCCGGTCTTGATGGCTCACTGAGGAACCGGAAACCGTCTATCTCCTGCGGGTCTGCCGCAAACAGACCCGCAGGAGGGATTTGCCTCGGTCCTGCGCTGGAACGCGTTCTTCCAGGTGAGGTCGAATTGGCAGATGCAACGGCTGAGACCTGCTAGGGCCGGCACGAAAGACAGGCTACCTGCCCGGTTCCGTGCAACCGTTCAACGTCGTTTTGACGCAACATTACGATGGGGTCAATTCGTCTGGCAACAACATTGCGAGCCTTTGAAACCCGAACGGTTTCCTGCAATTTTTTAACCTTGTATCCGGGTAAAATCACCGTCACCATTTCAATCTCATTCATGAGGGCATGACCGGTTTCGAGCTCAGTACCGGCTGTGTGGAAAGGCTCAGGTTCCGTGACCATTCGCAATCTTGAAGGCTTCTTCGCACCTAAATCCGTCGCCGTCGTGGGGCCCTGCAGACATCCGGGTGTCCTGACAGAAAAACTGGTCGACTGCCTGCACGACATAGAAACTGAACATCTCGTCTCACTGGTCGGCATCGAGGAAGACATTTCCTTCAAGGGTACCAGGTGCAGATCACTTGACGATCTGGATGTCATGCCTGACCTGGTGATTTACCTCGCCCGAAGCGATGACCTTCCGGCAACGATCGAAAAGCTTGGTGCGGGTGGCACCCGTGCGGTTCTGATCCCCTCGCCCGGATATGAGACATGGGCGGAACCGCTCATGCAAGAATGCCGTGAAGCTGCCCGAAGAACAAACCTTCGACTGATCGGACCGGGCAGTCTCGGTGTTGCTGTACCGGCCAGCAAACTGAACGCCCTTTTGAGCGCCGAACCACCCACGCGAGGCGATATCGCGTTTTTCTCGCGTTCCGGTGCGGTGCTCAATGCAACTCTCTCATGGGCAAGAACCCACAATACCGGCTTTTCCGCCGTTGTGTCGCTTGGTGCGCGCATCGATGTCGATCTGGGCGATCTGATTGACTATTTTGCCCAGGACTACCGAACCCGCTCGATCGTACTCCATCTCGAAGGCATTGCATTTCCGCGCAAATTCATCTCCGCAGCGCGGGCCGCGGCACGCAGCAAACCGGTGATCGTCATCAGGTCCGGCAAGAGCCGGGATACGGGTGGATCAGGCCGCACCCATGCAGGTCGTCTTTCCAGAACCGATCTTGTCTATGAAACGGTGTTCCGTCGCACCGGCCTGTTGCGTGTCCATGATCTTGACGAAATGTTCGAGGCACTGGAAACCCTGTCGCATATCCGTGTACCCCGCTGCAACCAGGTTGCTGTCATTGCCAACGGTCGCAGCCTTGCGAGCCTGGCGGTTGACCGGCTTCAGGACCTAGGCGCGCAATTTGCGACCTTGAGCGCAGAGACCAGACAGGATTTGACAGCAGTCAGCCGGGAGCCATCAGATCCTGAACCGACCCCGGCAGCGGACGGATCCGTCATTCTGCGGGAAAGCGTGTCTGCGGCGGACATCACGACGGCGATCACAACAGTTCTGAAAGACCCCGCCGTCGACGGAGCAATCGTTCTCCAGGCCGCAAGTGCCTTCCAGCCCTTGAGAAGCATCGCGAATGCCATAACCGATGCCGCTGCCACCGACCGGCGCCGTTCAGGACGCAAAAAGGCTCTGGTCGCCGGCCTGATCGGCAGTGATGGCGCGATCAGAGCTGAACTTTCTGCCGCCAAGATCCCGAACTATGCCAGTCCGGCCGAGGCTGCCCGCAGCCTGATGCATCTGGTGCATGATGCCCAGGCGCGTGAGTTCCTGATGGCAGCACCGCCAAGCCTGCCGACCAATTTCACTCCGGATGTCGAACGCGCACGTTCCATCGTCGAAAACGCGTTGCAGGAAGGACGAAACTGGCTCGATCCCAGGGAAGCCTTCGACGTCCTTGCAGCCTATGAACTGCCCCTCATGAAGACGGTGATGGCGACAACAGCCGAGGAGGCGGCCAAACTCTCCCGCGCGTTGTTCGAAACATCCCGGCACTGCGTTGCGAAACTGGTTTCGCCCGATTTGCCGTTCAAGTCACGGATCGACGGTGTCAGGCTGGGACTTGAAAACCCCGAGGCCGTCGAAAATGCCGCCAGGGAACTGATTGGCAACACCGGACGAGATTATCCGGATGCCGAGATCGCAGGAATATCCCTTCATCCGATGCTTGAAGACCGTCACGGCATGGAACTTTACATGGGACTTGCGGAAACACCGGAGTTCGGACCGGTTCTCGTCTTCGGACACGGCGGCACCGCAATAGAAGAAAGCGAGGACATTTCGCTCGAACTGCCGCCGCTTGATCTCAATCTTGCCGACGCCCAGATTGGCCGGACACGGATCGCACGGCTTCTGGAGGGTGGGCCTTCCCGCCCGGCGCTCGACAGGTCAGCCCTCGCCCAGGCCCTGGTCAAGCTGTCCCAGATCACAATCGACATTCCGGAGATCAACGAACTCGACATAAATCCGCTGGTGTCCCTGCCCTCGGGGCTGATTGGCCTTGATGCCCGCATGACCCTTTGCCATCCCGAACAGCGCCCCGGCAGAACAGGCGGATCGCGCCTTGCCATCGCTCCTTACCCGCAGGAATGGGAACAGACACTCACGCTCAAGGGTGACAAGGAAGTCTTTGTGAGGCCGGTCCGGCCCGAGGATGAAGACCTTTTCAAGAGTTTCTTCGAAACCATCACACCGGAGGATCTTCGGCTACGCTTCTTTGCACCGGTTCGGGATTTCAGTCACCGGTTCCTTGCCAGGCTTACTCAGCTTGACTACGCCCGTGCCATCGCGTTCGCCGCGATTGACCCGAATGACAACGGGCTTCTGGGGGTCGTTCGTCTGCATGCCGACCCGGACCACCAGACCGGAGAATACGCAGTGATGGTGCGCTCCGACCTGAAAGGGGTCGGCCTGGGCTGGGCGCTGATGAAACTCATCATCCGATATGCCAAGGCCGATGGGATCGAAACCGTCAAGGGCGAGGTTTTGAAAGAAAACACGTCGATGATCTCCATGTGCCAGGCGCTCGGTTTCACCGTCGGCACCTCACCGGACGACCCGGGTATTGCCCTCGTTACGCTTGCCGTATCGGAAATGCCGGAAGACATTTGAATCTGTTGCCAGATTTTCCAACGACCTCTACCGTGGGACACCGGCGTGCCAGTTCTGGAGGGGCATATGGACAGCAGAGCCAAACGTATCCTGGGAGCCGTCTCGGTCCCATCCTTCATGATCGGCACGGATTTTACCGGGGCCATGCTCCTGGTGACACCGATCGAACAGGAATACTCCGTCGACATAACGACAACCCAATGGGTTTTGAACGCCTATGCGCTGACATTGTCCATGGGTCTTGTTGCCGGTGGCCGACTTGGTGATCTGCTCGGCCATCGCAGATACGTGCTGATCGGTCTCGGCATCTTCTTTGCGGCTTCGATCGCCTGCGTGTTCGCCCCAACCGTCTCAGCGCTCATTTTCGCAAGAGCCGCGCAAGGTGTCGGATCTGCGCTCATCTGGCCCTGCATTCTCGCGCTGGCTGCAACTTCGGTTGAAGAAGACGAACGGGGCAAGGCGATGGGCATCCTGATGGGTACCGTCGCTGGCGGAAATGTACTTGCGCCGTTCATTGCCGGGTCGCTGGCCGCACTCGGCGACTGGCGCGGTTTTTTTGTCTTCAATGCCGTGTTTGCAGTCATTGCCGCGCTTCTCATTTTCCGTTTCATCGACCGGGAAAAGGAACATGCGCGGGATGAGACGGTTGATTTGTCCGGGATGGCCGTTCTTGCCATTGCGGTGTTTTGCCTTCTCTTCGGACTGGATACCGGAGCGGACAACGGCTGGTTCAACGGAACCACTCTTCTGCTTTTTGCCGGCGCCCTGGTGTTTTTCGCCGCTTTTCCGTTTGTCGAAAAATTCGTGAAGGATCCGATGATCCCGCTGCCGATGATGCGGAATCATCAATTTGTCAGGACGCTTGCGCTTAACGGTCTGCCGGCCATCGTAC